CTTAGATTCCAGCCTAGATACCCACTGAACTTTTCCTGAACTGTCCTGTCAGTACATTCTCCCCCAGCACCTTCTGAACCTGTAAGTCAAATTTGAAAGAGGAAATATAGTTTCAAAGTGCATTGCCTTCCCCTAAAATTAATTTTAAAAGTCTCAGAGTATAACACAGAGGCCCAGATTAGCACTTTCAGCAAGGGAACCAGGAACATGCATGCTTCTGGGCTTCTCATACTACTGTTTGGCTACTGTGGTGTTGTACTGGGGATGTGTTGAGAAACTGGTGTGACTGTGGTCTCACATCAAGTGGTCTAAAGGAAACAGCTCAATGAACAACTTTGTTGTATAGTTAAACTTTCCATTTAATGAAACATTTTAAGATTAGAGCCATTTGGTGCAAAATCCTCCAGTTGCAAAGAGGAGGACGTGCAACAGCATCAAGGCATAAGCCATGCAGAAATTTTATGCTGTTTGCAAGTAATGAGCTTGGCTCATTCCATATGGCTGGTAATTGCTATCAGAATAAGTCACAAAGTGAGTTAATAGCTTTGCTCACTCACAAATTGCTGAAACATATTTTCCAAGTCAGAAAACAACCGATTAATTGAATCACCAGCTTGGGAGTCAGGAGACCTGATTTAACTTTCTGCTCCACCTTAGGCTTTTGGAGTTACCATAGCCAAGCATCTAAAATATGGCTTTCCTGCAGACTGCAGTGAAGCATCAAGGTCTGCTAGTTAGTTTTAAATGAGTTAGCTTGGAAGCAGTCTGTGGCAGTACTCAGTTAACTCATCCTCAGCTTCATTTCCAGTTCATCCATTAATTTAACTCGTGACAGTTGGATTTCAGGGTGTTTCGTGAAGTTCAGCAGGGATCAAATATAACCCAGCTCTCCGATCAATCATATGAAATAAATTTAGTATTAAATGACCCAGTGGTCATCTCAAGTTAGATGTTAATTGTCTAACCATAGGGACTCAATTGACTTTGTAAAGTAGGACAGATGGGCTCTGTAGTGCTGAAGATGAAGGACACAGTAGCAGGCAAAGAGCCCCAAGAGGCCATATTTGGAACATGATTCATCTCACCCAACTTTAGAGATCCCCAGCTCTAATTACCTTTATAGGTGGTGGAGAGTTTAATGCCTTTTGGAGAGCGATTCATCTACATTATTTGAGGCATCACCCTGATGAAGCAAATTGTTTGGTAGAAAGGCATCTGGCTGAGATGGGAATCTAGAAGCAGATCTCTGTATTGGGCTGGGTGAACCTGACCTTGGAGTCTTTCCAGAAAGTGACCTTGCTCATGTAAGGATTGACCTTGCACTACAGCTTGCAGATAAGAGAAGAAACAGTCTTGCCTAGCTCTGCCTTAGCTCCCTGCCATGACTCTCTGTCATATTCTGGGGATAATACCTACAAGGAAACTGTAAAAAGACAAGGTGGAGGTCAAACCTCTTATCAGAACAATAGGTGTAGCTTGGAACATGATAGAAGCTTTTGAGCCCTTCCTGAGGATATTAATATGTATGGACAGTGTGTTAACAGGAAACCTTTCAGTGCCTTAGACAAGATAGCTGAACTTTATTTCAGTGAAACAGCTGAGCTCAGAAGCGTCAGTCGTGAGAAAAACCTTATCAACATCCACAGTTTTATTAATAAGGATACTGTCAAACAAAGCCTATGAGATGTCACATTGTTAAACTCAGAATAATCGACAGCAGAACCTTATAGTACTGGAAGGCAGGCTGGGTTTCATCTGTACTTTGTGCTCAGCTTTCTTGGATTTATTAACGTTGATGCTTCAAGCTGAGGAGAAGCCAAAAGGCTTCGCTGCTCAGAGAGGGATGAAATGTAAGGAAAACGCCACGAGAGGGAGATGTTGGAAGCAGGAAAGCTGTTGGGTTTCTCAGCGCTATGCAGAGAGTTACTTTTAAAAGGTACTCGCCAAAAGATTGCTAAACTTTCAGGGGCTCAAAGCATCTTTAAAATAAAGTTTATTCTAGGAGGAAAAAAAAAAAAAAGAACAAACAAACAACCAAAACAAAACAAAAACCACAAAGTCGACCACAACCAAAAACCTGTGTGAAGCCTATTTAAAAAGTTACGTCTATTAAAAACAAAATTTTCACTAGATACCAAAATGCCTGTCGTTTTAAGGTCAGACCTTTCAATTTCTGCTTCCTTTGTATTTATTTCAAGCAGTAAAATGCATTATGTTATTTGGATATGATGCCATTTTGCTGCTGATTATGAACAGAGGGGACAGTAGTGTTTAGATCACTTGGCTGAAGCCCCGTGGTAACAGCTCTGTTCACTTGTCCTGCTTGTGGTACGTATTTCTTTGTACTGTTAGATGCCTCCTTGGAAAAACTCTGGATGTTTTACAGAGTTCAACTGTAATTAAGTGCATATCTGAAGATTAGCCAGTCTTAAAAAAATGAATGTAGCAGTAAAGGGCTCAAGTCGTGTCAAATAGATAGGGCTAAACGTGGATATTAATAATATAACCAGAGGGACTCAATTTACTTTTGAAGCAATTAAAAGATGACAGAAATTTACAGTCTGTTTCTGGAAAAGAGTAATGTCTGTTTAAAAATAACTTTCTACCCAGAATAGTCTGCCTGTGTCACATAATATCAATTGTGGGAGGGAAAGAAAAAAACCAAACCAACACAACAGAACACTTTGGCATTTACAGCACGGCTTCTTTATGGAAAAATCAAAGTTTTAAAACAATACAAGTTGACAGTTAGGTGCTCAGGTGCACTTTTAGGCATGTAAACAAAGGCTTTGCTTTTCAAACTTGCTGAACAGCACATCAAAATTTAGCTTCTCCTTGTTTTTATTCCCCATGGGCAGGTTAAGGCTATTAAGAGGCCTGTGTTCCTATGGACAGGAGGTGGAGGGTTCATTTTTAATATACAGTGTAATATTGCCCTGGATTATCCAGTAGTTTGGTAATCTGTCTCTTTTTATTATTATTATTATTTTTATTTAGGGTATTTCTTGCTTCAGAGTGGATAGGCAGGGATTCTTTTCCAGCTTATTAATCAGAACTGGAGTTTGCTCCTCTATCCATAAGCAAAGTATGAAAATTTCACTAACCTAAAGCAGCTGCTCCAACAGGCATCCTGATGGAAAATTAACATATTCTTGGATATTTATTGCACTTTAGCTTTGCTTTGAGTGATATTCATGTTCCTCTTCTTTACAGTGTACCCTCTGAAAATACCACTGAATGATTTGGGTCTGGTTGTCAGTGAAAACACCAGAACTATTTGAGCCATCATCACAACATTCACCCCTCTGTCTTGCCTCAGAGATGGACAGAATGCCAGGATCAGATATCTTCAAGTATCTGCTGGTGCTCCCTCTTCAAAGCAGTGTAGTCAGATAGAAAGGAAAGCAATAAGACAGCCCCCACATGACTCACAAGGTTTTTCCACTTCTATGTTCTCCCTTCCATCACTTCAGAATTCAGCTTTTAGCAATGGGCTAAAAAAACTATGGTAGTTACTTTTGTCTTCAGAGGACAGCACAGCATCAAAACTTCTGATCCACCTTTTTTATTGTTATCCTGATTTAAATATATTAGAAAGAAACAGCTTGGTTGGTCTACTCAATACTGCACTTAACTCTTCCTTTTTTTCAGGAGTATCATGCTTTAAGCTTTTCTGTGATGTTTTCCCCTCTGCCCTGTTGGGAATGTGACTATAGTGGGATTTAAAAAAAAAGAGTTTAATGCATAGACATAATGGCAGGAAAAGAAGGCGAGGTGGTGATAGTCTTGACTGTTTATTTCAAAACTACAGTGAGAAATAGCTTCAAAAACCCCTGAAACCTCTCTGAGAGACAGCATTTGGGAGCCAGGGGCTATTACCTTCATACTTCAGTGGAATCTCCTTGCTTTTATGTCACTGTTTCTGAAGTAAAAACAAGTTGAAGGCAGGAAGAAAGCATCAATTCCGAGTGCCTTTCTGAGGCAAAATTTTACTGAAACTAGAAAGTTCATATAAGCAAGGACTTCCAGGCATGACAACAAGAAATTTTTAACTCTTGTATGGCAATTTCAAAATCTTTTGGTGAGAAAGGATGGGGTTGTAAGCTGAAGCAATGTGTGGCAACACAAATAGCTGCCTTTCCACACTCTTCAATGAGTTTGATATGCTCTAGGTGATGTCACTGTCAGGGGTGAGCATCACTTACATCATTTACTGTGTGATGCAAGCAGGGTTCTTGCTGATTTTTTGTTTGCAATGTGGCTGCACCAGTTAACATATTACCTTCAGTATTAAAACTGCAAGAGCACTTAGTAAAATATGTATATATATATATATATATATCAGTCTTTATTGGACTTTTAAGTATTTTCTAAAGGCCTTCGCTTTTAAAAAATACTAATAAAATAGATTTAGAATGGGAGAATGCTTTAAAACTTGGCTCTCTTGCTCATCTGCACTTACCAGCAATAAAAGACAAGTGAAATCCTGATGCTAAGAACATCAAATTTTGTGTATAGTGGGTGTTTTGGTACGCTCAAGCCTAAATGCATCCTGTGTTTCAGCTGGTTTCCAGGTGAGCACAGCCTATCAGAAGACAGCTACTCTCTGTTCCAACACTCACCCCATCTAGACAAAAAGAGAAGTAAGGTTATGTGGTATGCTACAGGTTCCACCTGTCTGGAAGTCCAAATTCCCATTAGTATGAGCAAAACTAATTAGCTTCTCTGTAGCTGTCTTGACTGATTCTTGAAGGATAAAGAATGTTTTTAAAAGGTTCTCTCTCTACTCTTCATTGCATAAAGGTACCTGAAGGCTTCTTCACTGTGTTCAGGAATCACAACCAGAGGTTCACCATTATGCCAAGTGTCTGATTCCCAGATTTACTTTCTCTAATTTGAATTCCAGATCTGCATGGTGCTTCCATTTTACAGCAGTCAAAACAAAAGTCTGTACCTTTATATAGAAGTAAAGGCGGGGGAAAAAAAAGCACATCAGTACATCCATCTTATATCCAGTTTATTTAGTACCGGAGCAGTAAATACAAATAAGAGTTCTCAAATCTGGCAATGCCAGAACTGGTGAGGTACAGCTACAACAGTCTATTAGTCATTCTGGAATCCCGTGTGTGCTGGAAAGCTGAAGGGTGTACATGAGTAGTCTTCAAGTTCAGTTTCATAGATATGGACAATACAGTTAAATACACTGCTCCTGATACTTCAGAGCAGCATCTGTATAAAAATAAAGCAACCCTGTGCCTGCCAACTGAGAATTGGCAGGCACAAATATTCCAATATTTGTATTTGTAGTCTTATAACAAGTGAAATAAACAGTATCTTTTCCTTAAAAAAAGGACATGATCTTTTGTCAAAACTTATTAAAACAAACTTCAGTATTATTTTACAACAGTAATGTTAAGATTATATACCTTTCTTATGCCATTTTATGGGGGTGAACACTCAAAAATCAGAGTAATCTTACTCGTTTTAATGCAGGTAAAATTTCAGAGCAGAGGTAGGCTTCAACTTAGCAACTTTCAAAGACTGAATCCTAGCTGTCCCCTGGAATGGGCAGAAGGCAGTAATTCACCTTCAGATCACTTCTCTTCATAATTTCTGCATGAGCACAGCACTTTCAAACACGCTGGGCTAAGCCCTTATTTAGTTGTCTACAGTAAGAGCTCTGAATGTCAACTGACAACACATTTGGACCCATCTGATGTTTAATATCCACATCTGAAAAGTGTAGCTAACATAGTGCTTAGTGGCATTTCAATACCACAGTGATGACTAGTTGTAAAGACATCAGTCCTTAGGAAAAACACTCTATGTGAGCACAGGTCTTACCAGCAGGCTGACCTTTAAATCCAGGCAGACATCCTAAAGAACTCGTGCTCTTTACCAGTCCACGTGCTTTCCAAGCTTCTGCTCCCATCTAAAACTGAATAGCCACATCCACCTTACAGGTACTGAAATTTTGTTAAAGCTCACAAAAACTGTGCTGTGAAAGGGATCAGCCCTGGCCTTATGCTGTCCCTGGCTGTAAAATTATTTCATTAAATAACCACCTTGCCAAAACAGTCCAATGTTCACTGACTAACATTTCACTAACATTTCAGTTCCCACACTTTCCAACCTTCTCTACATTCTTTCATCACTCATAAAAAAAAAAAAAGATACTGAAACAGGAGACAATACTGCTTTATATATCTGCTTTCCTACTTTTGGTGCCTCTGCAAGGCAGCTTTGCAGGTAAATAACTTTTGTAGATGGTGACCAAGCATTTAATTCATAAGACTTTCAGTAGGTGTTAGGCACACAAGGCTCTAAGCCGTCCTTCCTTCAGTGAAATACAAACACATTATCATATGCAGCTACAGCATTTTGCTTTTCTTCAGTGCGAATGCTCTTGCACAAAAAATTCAACTGCTTCTCAGAATTCTGAAGTAAGATTTTGGTCAGCAAGGCTGAGTTTATCGGAAATTATGGAACACTTAAGGACATGGTTCAGTGGTGGATTTGGCAGTGTCAGGTTAATGTTTGGACTCAACGATGTTTCCCAAATAAGTGATTCTGTGGAATAACTGTTTGTACTTCAGTTGCACCTAGAAGCTCTACCCAAGACCATGTTGGTGTTGAATAAATACAGAATCAAACTCTCCTCTGGAGCAGCTTATGGTTTAAGTGGCACAGCCCTAAACACATGTAAATCTGGAGTAGGACTTGAAATAGAAGGTCAGTCTTCTAGGTCTAGACCATTCACTTGACCATACTATCTCCCACCTTTGGCCTCTACTGTCTTACTCCTCCAGATACCAACCTTTGGAGGAAATTCACTGAATCCCAAGAGCTGCCTCTGCTCCATTATTTCAGCTTGTTCCTACTTCAAGACTAACCATCTTTTACACAGATTTCCTTCTCTTTCCAAACATATTGTTGATTAACTTGGCCATTGACTTTGATCCACTTGGTCGTCTCTTTTCCTTCACTTTGAAATTTGAAGTGATATTCCTCAGGACTTTCGTGAACATTGCCACAACTTCCTGACAATGTTCTGCTGCGGACAGTTCACAGAATTGGCACTTGTTATCCATTGCCAGCTTCTGTCCTTCATCCCAGCCAACTTCCCTCATGTGGCATAAATCCTGTTTATTACCAACCAAAAATACAGACGACTCGACCATTCTGAAATCAAAAAGGTTCCAATTAGAGAAAAGCTGTATCACAATACTGTGCTGTATGCTGTGCTATATTCAGTGTGTATGAGAAGTCTGTATATTCAAAATAATAGGCATTGCAAAGAAAAATAAATCCAAAAGAACCAACCAGCACCCCAAGTCTGCCAGAGTTCTGGTTTTCCCTTTGCCACAGTCAAATGTCAAAGGATTTTCCAGACCAGTTATTCTCTATCAGTACGTTTTCATTTTGGTTCCTCTACTCAATGAATTAATGTATTTTTAATCCACTGCTGTTTTCATCCTCTATACTGCTGAGTATATTGTCAGCACCTGGACTTCACAAAGAAGCAAGCTGATCATTATCCCCATTTGCAGGTAACAGAATAGAGTCCAAGAGATAAACCAAGTGTCAGTGGCATAACTCAGAAGAAAACACAGGAAACCTAATTCCAAGCTCTGCTAAATTTTTTCCTTTCAGAGAAAATTAAGAAAGTTCAGCAGTAAAATAGAGAGGAAAGTGGTTTGGTTTTTTACTCTTCTCCAGATATAAGAAAGGGATTTCATTCTCATTTGTTTAGAAAGCACCTCAGCTGACAGATGCAGGAGTACACACCACCACACGTACTCAGACTTGCAATTTGGGTGGTTATTCTTGAAAGTAGTTTGTTTCTTACCATGTGGTTACCCGTGTGTACAAATAATGTCGGTGTCACTGCTAAAGGCAGTTTAGGAGACATTCATGGTATTAGACTTCTATATGTTGGGAAATGCTTCCTTCAACCCCCACACAGGTGCATCTCCATCAGTAATCAAGTGGGAGAGTAAAAGCACAGACTGACTGCCAGCTTTATAGCCATGCAAATCACAGCAGAGAGATTTATGGCAATTATTTAAATAGCAATTTTGTAAGAAAGAAAAACAAAAGTCCTGATGTACTTGGCATAGGATACAGTGAAATAGATTGCAATTTGCCACACATTTTACCTCCAGGTACCTTGTTGTTGGCATTGCATTATGTCACTTGGATGCTGCTGGATTTTAATTGCTACTAGGATGCCTACAGCTCACAGAAACGTTCTCGGCTCTTTATTATGTTTGCTGAGGGGAAAAAAAATAATGCCACTTACTTTTTACAAACTCCTATGTGAGACTCTCGGATCCTGTACAGCAATGCTTTTGCAAATGCAAACGATGCTCTGTCACTGATGTCATAAACAATGATAAATCCATCAGCCCAGTGGAGCTCGTCTGTGAGGGAGAGTTTCCCCTGCTGTGGCTGAAAGAAGTTCAAATTCACATGCAAAAAGAATGTTACTGTTGTCACATCAGAGCATTTTCTTTGTCACTGTGAATGTGAGAATGTTGTATCTTTTATTGCAAAGGATATTTAATAGGCCTAGGTATTGTTATCAAATTCAGGTGAATACTGCTCCAAAAGCCTAATATATAACCATCAGTAAAGACAGCACTTTGGATTACCAACAAATTATGAAAAATCTATGCTTTTTTTAAACAGTAAAATTGCATACCCTGTACAACCACTACTTATGCTGAATATTCTGCAGGGTTACATGTGAAAGAAACATACAGGAGCCATTGATATTTGTGCATTTTGTGGTTATAGCTCTGGTTTACGTGTTTCTAATACTGTGACTACACTAAGCTTAATGACTTTCTTTGGTTTCTTCATTTGCTTTGTTTCTTCATTTGCTTTGTTTCTTCATTTGCTTTGTTTCTTCATTGAATTGTTCAAGTCTGAAACACTACCCAGAGGATAAATTTGTAGAGACAGCTAGAAAAAAATCTCCCATCAATCTGCAGTTGAGTTTAAAACAAACTAGTGACAAAAGCTGCTCTAATGACAATGGGGTTATACCAATCCTTGAGTCCCTTCACCACAAGAAACTGTCCCACTTCTGATTTCCAGAAAGCAACAGCTGCAAACTGTCCTATTAAGCAAAGGAATGTAATTTCAAAACTATTTTAAATTAGCTTATCCCCATAGATGATTTGGCTGCAGCTAGCAAAACCATGTGATCCAAAATAGATGAAATACCAGAAGCTGATCAGGAAAAAAATAAAGATTAAAAATTGACTTTTGCTCTGTGGAAAACCCACCTTGAATAGTAAACTGAGGACTGTTAAAGTTGGTCCCTTGCTAGTTTAGTACTTTGCTACTTGCAATGTATATTCTCCAGTGACATCCCAACCTGGTTGCCTTGATTGGCTCAGTCTTAGGGCAGCTCTGTAGCACCATTAACATCTGAACTGGGAAGGCTGTAACTTAGTGAGGGATGGTAACTGAAAAGTGGCAGTGAAAGGGGATGCATGAGAAAGATGAAACGAGTTTCCAGAACTGTCTGAAGACTTCAGCATCTTTAATACAACAGGTTTTTTTAGTGCTGTGGGGACTGTGCAGCACATTTAGGGGTGGGAATGGTGATGTGTGTGTGTGTCACAGCTGTTTCTCAGATGGATGAAGGGACGGTGAGCTTTGTACAACAGGTATCCAGCTACTAGAGGAAAACCTCAGAGAGCAGGAAGATTTCAGGAAGCAGAAACAAAAATGGCACCACTTCCTTCCCCATTCTGGTCTCCTCTTGGGACCTGCTTTTCTTCCCCATCTCTCATGGGATACAGGACCTCCAAAACCCATCTAGTCCTGTCAGAGAAAAGCAATACTGCCTCTGCCTGTTACCTACTCCTGTGCAGGCACTAAGAAGTTGGGAAGAAAGCAGCAAACAGCTAAAGTTAGGCCTTGTTCTTCAGTAAAAACTAGTACAAGACAGCTCAGAGTACGCTAGCAAGAGGAGCAGTAATGTCTACTTTGACCATTTCTAAAGACATTTAGTAAACTGCTTGCTTTATAAATTATAAGCTATATAAAATTTCATCCATTTACAGTATTTGAGAAAACTGCATGTAACCCAATAACTTATCTCTGTATCTACCTAAGTAAGGCAAAAGTGGTAAAAGTTATTTCTGTTAGCAATACTCCAAAATGAAAAGGCATTTACGAAAAATCTAAACAATGAAGGGCTTCTTCCCTGAAATTGGAAAGTACTCAGCAGGTCTGAGCCACAGCAACTATAAAATTTCAGTCTTTAAAAGAAAAACAGCAAGGAAAAATTCCAACAGCAGACAAGAAGTTTGTAACCCCTCAACCCTTTTTACCATATACACAGACAGAATGAAGAACAGCCTTTCTTTGCCCCCTCCCACCAATTCTTACCTGTGAACAAGGGTCATAAATTTCCAGGTGTATCTGCCTCCCATCCAGGCACAAGTGTTTAGTGTAGATGCATTCTAAAAGGTAGACAGTATCCAAAGAAAATCAGTGTTAGTGACTTGGGATGACAGTGAAAAGAAAAGGCAGCAATGCTGACATTGGATAATACTGAGGATTACATAAGTACTCTTTGATTTGGTTGGTTTTTAAAGGGGTTTTGTCTGCGATTTGTTTCTTTTGCAGGTGAGGAGGGGGTTTGGCTTTGTTGGGGTTTTCAGGGTTAGAGGAGTTTTTTTGTTTGATTTTTTTTTATTTTATTTTGTTGGTGTGGGGTTTTTTGCAGTGTTGTTGACCAGCTGTTTGCTTTTTCTTTTTTTGAACACACATTAGAAAGAAACATATTTCATTTTGCAACAACCAGCCCCTTGGGCAGACCAACACCACTTCAGTTTGGTGCTCCCATCAAAGTTTTGGTGCAATGAATACTTTCAGACCATAGTTTTCCTCTTCTAAAATGGAGGGATGCTCAGAATCAGCTAAATGTTCTTGATCACTCAGCTTGATACTAAGGCTCAGGATTATGCAAGTAGTCAGCCAGACTATCTGTAGTTCTGGTTCTGCACAAAAGCCATTATTGAGCAATACTGTTTATTTACCATGACATCTGGTGCTTTAAGAGTTCTCATACAAGGCAGCATTAGACCTACAGTATTTACAGGATCATGTCCTTAGGATCTAGTCCAAAAATATTTCTGTAGTGTCAGTTCTCAGATTTAGGACTCTCCACCAGCAACACTGGGAACACTATTGCAGACAGACCATCACTATTCTTTTCACCAGCAGCCTGTTCTAAGCAAGTGTGACCAGATTGTGTTCATTGTGTTAGTTATCAACAGGTTTTCTGCAGTATAACTTCTCAGTTTCTGAACTAGAGAGACATGAACTGGTATTTGCCCTACAGAAAATCCACTTAAAACTGTATAATGAGGGGTAGGTCTATAATCTCTGGAACTCAGCATCTTCAGCTCAGGACCAGGTTAATCTTAAGCATTCTCCATGCCTATCATAAGAGTTCATCTGATGATGAACTATCAGTCCCAAGCATCTCAGAAAATAAAATCTGCAGCCCTTAATTTGTTTAATTATGGTTTTTTCCATAATTAAACAAAATTTTAGTTAATGTTTTGACTCCACTAACAGTGGCACGATCTTTACCACCCCTATTCCCACTTCCCTCCCCCTTCCTCCTTTCTAGAAATAGTGCTGAACGTACCTTCCAACAAACATTTGTTAACAAATGAAAATGTTCTGACACTTGCAGTACTGGAGGCTCAGAACAGGGAAACCTGTTTTTAGTTGCAGGTGGCTTGGCACACACATGGAGCACAGAGAGCACTATTCAACTTCCATGTGACAGCTCAGACCTAGATCAGCCAGCTAGGACACAAACTATCTTTTCAGTCTGTATTGTAACAAGTATTGGTAGAGCATATATATACAACTGTAACTCTCCCTTCATAATAAATTAATTTTGATATATTTAACGCAATTCAGTTTAGCACTTCTAATTTCTTTTTTATCTATGGATCACTGGAAGCTACTCTGATCCCCACGAAAAAAAAATGTGGAAAGACTCCTTCACTTCAGCAGGGAAAGTGAGGCAGATAGCAATCTCTCTGACATCTTAAGTTTTGGGACTTCTCATGCCCATCAGCTGGGGTGGCAGCACACTTCCGAAGTTGTTTGTGCATCAGTTAAACAGTATTTCTACCCGGCATGTGAAAGTTCGAGTCCTGCTTTGCCACTTCCCAAGACCTTAGAAGTGTCTTAAGGATCAGCGTATCAGTTCTGGCACGAATGTGACCTTCTGTCCTCTGTCCAGCGAGACTTTCCACAAAGCAATCCAACCAGCGCATTCCTGCTTCGCTGGGGGTTTCGCGTTATGCTTTGATTCACCACCAGTGCCCGATAAACAATCCGTTCCACCTCTCCTCTGGAGCCGAAGAGCAGATATTCAATAGAACAGGTTTGGGGGTGGGTTTGTTGTTTGGGGTTTTTTTACCTAGTCTGTCTCTTTTCTTCCCCTCCTCTCTGACTGAGCTGACTGTAACCCACCCTCACTTCCCACTCGCAGTCCGGTTATCCTCCCTTCCCCTATTCGGGGCGATCCCTGCACAGACAACCCGCTCGTCCTTCTCCCTCCTCAGAGCTTACGCTTAGCCAGGACCTCCCGCTGATAACCGAGCGGAAACTTAAATCTCCCCGAAAAGTTCTGCGAAACCGCGCTTTTACCCGATTTCCCGATCAAACACGTGCTCGAAGCGCCGCGTCTTGCGCTCCCCGGGGGAACCCCGAGCGGATCCCCCCCGGATCCCCCTCCCAACCCTCCTTCCCTCCCTCCGTCCCGCGGCGCTCACCGGCGTTGGACGCGTATTCCCCGATGAACCGCCGGGTCAGGAACCGCACGGTCAGCGCTAAGGGAGGGAAGCACACGCCACGTTTAGCGGGATCGCGCCGCCCCCGTGCACCAAACCCGAGGTACGGCCAAGGCCGGGGGCTCCCTGGGTTTCCCCCCTTACCCGACTTGCCGGCCCCGCTCCCGCCCAGCACGGCCACCTTCACCTCGGCCATGCCGCCGCCACGCCGCGCCCGCCGGCGCCGCGGCTTTAAAGTGCCTGCGGCGACACCGCCCCGCATCCCGCCCAGCATCCCACCTCCTGCCCGCTCCCCCGCCCCGCCGGCGACGAGGAAGCCACAGCTCTCTGCGGGAGGGAGGTGTTTTTCAGCTTCTCCGAGAAGCGCCTTCCTCCTCCTCCTCAAGTCCCAACAGCTCGTCCCCCGCCGCGCAAATTTTCCTCCAGGTCGCCTTCCTGCCGACCTTCCCAGGCAGGCTGGCGGGTCCCTCGCCTCCTTCTCCTCCTCCTCCCCTCAGTGCGGTTAGGAACTGGAGGGAAAAGAGGAAAGAAAGGCGGGGAAACTAAAAAAGAAAAAGGAAAGAGAAAAGGAGAAGACGTTCTCCAGCTGCGGGCGTTGTTTGTTTATTTTGGTTTGCAGGCTGTCACTGTTTTGTACCAGGAGTGTGAAAGTGAACAAGCCGAAGGGATTGGTTTTTAATTTTAAGTGCTTTCTGGGGTAACTTGCTAAAAATAAGTGTTCTGAGCTTGTCTGGTGTTTCAAAACTCATCACTCACTAAACCTCTGATCTTGCAAAAACTTCTGCGGGCCTGCCTTTTTTATGCCTATGATTGTTTTTGTTGAATTTAAATTTAAGTTCTGTGTTGTGTGCTGTTCAGCTGAGGCATATAACGTGCCTGGGAAACAAGAAAATATAACGTGGAAGGTGAGGTAGAGAAGGATAACCCTGCCAGAAAGACACCCTGAGTCTACTGCGCCTCTTTGTTTTGAGGCTCCTAAAGATCCTTCTAATGGCTATTTATTTCTGAAAGTGCATAAAATACTTGTGTGCAAAGGTTTAGTTAGTCCACTGGTGAACAACAGATTGCTTTAAAATCCTTGTTACACTTGAATACTTACTGTGTTCATGATTATTTTACTTTGTTTATATAACTTGAATATATTTATTTATTCTGATATTTTTACCCTGTTCTGATGGAACTGTTGTGCATGGTATAAATCATTCAATAAAGCACTGCTTCAGTTTGCTTGCTAGGAGGTATTACAGGTACAACAGATTTACATGAGCTCAAGAAAATAGATAGACAAGGTATTGGTTACAGCTTGAAGGAAATGCTTAGTGGAGGAAAACATATGTAAGAATAAACAGGCAGATGCAGTTTGACTCCAAAGTCCCTGACTGAAAAGTTGCTAATGGCTGGAGGTGTGAGCAGGGGATACCTCTAGTTTGCTTTATCTGTTTTTTTTTTAATAGAATCATAGAATGGTTTGTATTGAAAGGGACCTTAAAGATCATCTTGTTCCATTCCCCTGCCATAGATCAGGTTGCCAGCCCCACCCAGCCTGGCCTTGAACACTTCCAGGGATGGGGCATCCACGGGAACCTGTCCCAGTGCCTCACCACCCCCACAGTAAACATTTTTTTCCTAATATCTAATCTAAACCTACTGTTTTTCTGTTTGAAGCCATTCCTCCTTGTCCTGTTCTGCTATTGCTCGCTCACAAGACAGAAGTTAATATCTAAAAGAACTTTAGTCTGACCTTTGGCTATTTTAACATTTGTTTTTGAAATAGCAGGATGCTGAGATCACTAGGCTGGAGTCAATTTGGTGTAACTGGCACGATTTAGTATTTTGCTATTTCATATACGTTGAAACCACTGCAAGAGGAAAGTCTAAACCTGCTTATCCATGTGCGTGCGCTATCAAGGATGCGGCTTTTTTGCAGATGATTTAAATAAATGGTTCTGAAGTTTCTTTTAAGAAGTGTGAGGTTGCAACGCAGATGTCTCACAGCTCAGGAATGTTCTTTATTTCCTGTTGAAGTATGTGCAGTTTATGACTATGCCATGGAAAGGCTGATTAAGGCAGTTGTAATGGCCCATGGTGCAGGAAAACAGAGGATAACTCGTCTGAAGTGGGCTCAAGATGCACTCCTCAGGATGGCTTTTTCTTCTCCCTGGTTTGTTTTTACTGTTTGTTCCTTTATGGCAATCTTGGCTTGTTGTAGTCCTCCCTGGCACTCACTCTTGCCCCTGTGGCACAGTGGGCCAGCACAGCTCTTCATGTAGGTGTGTTAGCAAACAGAAAGTTTTATTTGGGATGCAAATTGTCCAAACTCTTTATTTCATACCCTCTGCATAGGGAAAAATAGAATCCAGCTCTCCTGTTCCCACTGCATGGACTTAACCACATGAGCACTTCCCTCACCTGGACAGCAGATGTGATAACCAAATTGGGGTATTGCACATGTTAAAGAATATACTGCCTGGCACTTTTATTTCTTTTAGTTGTGCAAAGAAGTTTATTAAGGAGACTGAGATGGTTTGTTGTATGTATTCAGTATGCATATAACTTGAAGCATTAGAGAAATTAAGTTTTAATTTAAAATTAAACAATGTGAATGTTTCTTTTCTGAAAGAGTGTCTTTCTCCCTCCCTTCCCAGAACTAAATGGAACTGAGAAAATTTATAATGTAAGGAACTCCTGAACATCCACTCTAAATCATTTAATTTTATTCTTATTCATAAACTTTTCTGTCCATTTTCTTCTATTACTGCTGCGTTTCCATTTTGCAAGTGTATTCACAGAGATACTTTTTAATTTCTTCCCATACAGAGGACAAATCTCAAATTTCTTTTAAATCAACACCCCCGCAAAACATAACAGCAAAAGTTGCTTACCTCTCTAAGCACAGCCATTTTTGACATTTCAAGTTGCAATGAACACTTTTGTTGATCATCTTACTGAAATGTTTTGATTTGCATTCAGCCTGAAGGAACATTTCATATATTAGAAGAAATGATGGAAAGTAAGCATACTTTTTTAATGAATTATTTGCCTAGATTTGGCATTTATATAACAGTTTGTGGTAGATACAGTAGTAATGCCTCTTTAAATTGCCTCAGCCTCTTGTTTCATTTTAGTGTTGACTGTCCTTACCTTCAACTTGTACAACTGCCACGTTCAGTTCCTTCCAGTGCCAAATCCGTCTGTTCTGGAATGGTTTTACCCTCATTACCCATGGGTGCAAGTGTCTCTGCAAGGGTAGAGGTGTGTACAAAACAGTTCATCTATCTAGGGAGCAGAAGTTTATGTGTGAGTTCAGATCTGGTGGTCAAAAATGAGTCAACTCTGTGCTGCTCAAGCAACAAGTGAGCAGCAAGTTGTGAGTTGTGAGTTGCTCAAGCAACTTTGTTTACATGTGTAAAGCTCTGCTAAGAAAGCAGTGGGCTTCTAATAGATACAATGGAAATAAATGATTAACCAGATAAAATTCCCTTTTTAGTGAACATGGTAGATGATTGATTTTGAATTGTTTAAGCTAAAAGTTTTCAGAATTTTGCAGATCACTGATCAAATGTGGTCACTTTGCATTTCACTCCCAGTTCTGTAGATTGGGACATCTCTGGCCTGATGCCAAGATCTCTGAGAGTCAAAACTGCTTGTGGAGAAAATGAACATCAGGAAAACACTTACTTTCCATTTTAGCCTTTTTCATGCAGCTTGGCTGCTGGAAAGAAGATGGAATTGAGAGTGTATAACTATTTGTACTTTGTGAACAACAGTAATGCTTCAATCCAAAAAGCACAATTAGGAACCACTGGCTGAAGCAAGTGCCTGCTCTGTATGGTATAGGATTTCTATAACTTGCTGGGGTTTGTATCCCTGCAGAATTAGTCCCCTTCTGGCTTATGGAGTAATGTCTTCCAGGTAAGATCTGTCTTTTAAAGCCCACTTTCCACCATACCTTCAGGTGGAGTGCTTTAAATTTTACATCTGCTCCTCCGACTGCTCCCATAGCACGTGAACTGGCCAAGTAGATGTCTAAAACCACAACAAAACTAACAAAACTAGAACAACAGGATTTTCGGCTGAATGTGATATTTTCATCGTCTATAGACATGGGTACATTCCTCAGTAGAATACTCAAAGGTATTATTCATGATGGAAAGAAGACATGACAGAGCATAATCCCACCTGCTCTGTTTATGTGGCGTAAATAGATCAAAACTGCCATTTTCCTCCTAAAAATGGTAAACTGCTCTCAGAGGTAGGTTGTTATAAGTGATTGAAATTTTGTCTTGCTGGCCATGGGAAAGTGTTTGGGATTTTTTTAGCAGAAATTACAGATTTGATCTATGAGAAAGTACTGTTAGTACACAAAAAAAGTCGCATTGGATGTGAAAAACAAAACTTCGTAGCTCCTTACAGATTTCTCCCAGAGTCTGAAACTGCCTATCCCCCAGGGTATCATGAAGGATTTTGCAGACTAATAATATGACTCTGAGCTGATAACCCTTAGGAGTAAGGACAGTGTGACAGGGAGAAAGTTTGGAGACCTCATGGTCTAGTGGGAATAGTATATGGTCAGTATTGTGGGAATGAAAACTGAGGCATTTAGGCTTAAGCATTTATGCATTATGCTCAGACTCTTTAAAGAGACTTGTGTGTTTCTTGGTAAACAGTGTATTTTGGGTTGATTAAGGCCCACACCAACACCACATGACTGAAAGGTAAAGTGTCAAGTTTGATTTTTGGTTTCTAAACAATCTGTTTGTTTGACTTCTGTTCTACACAACTTTGGGACCGAGATTATCTTTTGAATGTATAACTATGAAGGGACTGGCCCATGATAAAGACCTCTACATTTCACTGCAATGCAAATATTGAAGCATGAAAATAGTCTCTTCATATGGCTTGGACGGCCATATGGAAGCTTTAAAAAATGCTTCTTGAATAATTAAGGTGTTAATGACAAGGCAAGGGATTTTAAGTGGTATATAACTTCCTTATATTCTGCTTTCCTTGAGTCTCATATAAGAGCCTTTTCCCAGAAAACAGAAAGCTTTAAACCCTTAACCTAATTCACATTCAGCAAAATGTGAGTTGCAAGGCTAAATGCTTGCAGAGGGTGTTTATACCCAAATCCCAACATAAAGATTACACTTTGTTATTTTTAGTGCCTAGGGGAATGTTATCTCAAGTTACACAGCTCCATTTGTAGCAAAAAGACAAAACACATCTTTAACACATCTGTGCTAGCATTTTT